CCCGCCTGGAGGGTCCCGCGGGAAGATGAGATGATCCACGCGGAGTGCCCAGCGGTGAGCACGAGCCGTGTGCTAACAGGCGTCCGCACCACTGCGCAGACCCGCCACGGTCTCCCTGAGGAAGTGGGTCAGGACCCTGAGGTGCGGATGCCCCTCCCGGGGTGAACGGGGGCAGTGCCTGGCTTTCCCTTCGAGGCTGCTGACGAGGAACAGGGGGGTCTGGAGCCTGCCCTGGGTCAGGCTGCGCCGCTTTCTCCATCACAGCCTGTCTCCCCCACCCGCCAGGAGCGGTCAGGTCGGGAGGCAGTGAGACCGACCCGAGGCTGCCCCCTAGGAGTCTGTCCCCGGCCAAAGGTGGCAGCGGTCCCCCCAGAGACATCACACAGTCTCTCCAACAACCGGAACGCCGCCCCCATGCATCAACCCTCCTCAGGTGCCCACTCTGGTGCCCACTCCAATGCCCAGCACACCTGGACCTGGCACATCGACCGCCAACCCTGTGCAGCAACCACGGCAGACACGCCCCGTGTGCACCTCGGGGGACCCGTGTCCCTGAGTGGAGCGGCTCTGTGGCTGGGGGCTCACACCTCCACCCCGAGAGAACTTAACCAGCCACTGTGAGGCCCTCCGTGGCTTCTCCCTCACTGCGCCCCGCAGGCAGGTGCCTGGAGCCTTGGGACAGGGCTGGGGTCGGCCTGGGCTCCCCCTAGCCAGTGGGGCGCTCGCCTGGGGCCACCAGGGCCTGGCAGCATGGAGCTGGGCCAGCACCTATCCTGGTCTGCAACGGTGGGACCCAGGGGCTCCCGCGCCCTCCACAGCTGGTGCTCCGCACACGGGAGCAGTGGGGCTGGGGGCGGGGAGGAGCCCTGTAGGCTGGCTCGACTCTGAGCCCGGCCAGGCTGACCTTTCCCAGGGGAACCAGAGCCTCCCAGCCCGGCCCAGTGCCTGGCCTGCCCTCCTGGCCAGTGTGGCGCTGGGCCCGAGGGCGGGCAGCCAGCTCCCGGGGCTGTCCAATTCCTGGGAAGGAGGCTTCCTGCACATGCTCGGTCCCCACTCGGTGACAGCCTGGGGGGGGGGGCAGCCTGACTCCACACACACTGGAAGGGACGGTGCCACCTGCCCACCTGGGGCTGCCCCTCCCCCACGCTCTCAGCACAACAGACAAACGCCACCCACAGTGGGGAGGGACCCGGCCTCCCCACCCCTCGCCTATGTCCCCCTTCCACAGCTTCGGACTCGGCCACACAGCTCGGCCACAGGGACCCTGGCCGTGCTGCCCCCTGCAGGGCCCTGCCCCCTCATGACCTCACCCTCAGCAGCCTGGCCTGTGGGCCAGCCCGTCCGGTCCTCACCAGCCCACTCCCGCCGTCACTAGTGTTTGGGTTCACACCCCAGCTCCACCCCCTCGCAGCTGCGGGACCCGAGGCCCCTCGCAAAGCTTCTCTGGGCCTCAGTTTCCTCATCTGGAAAAAGGGGCCATAATAGCACTTGCTTCACACGGCTGGTGGGGACGCGGGGACTCGACACGTGGACACCCACCGCGGGAAGCAGGCCTGGGGAGTCACTCAGCCCTGTTACTTCACGCTGGGGTGTCAGCCTGAGGCCCCCTCGGGAAGCCCCCCCGCCGGGTTCCACCGCTCAGCGGTCCCTCTCCTCCCGCCCTCGTGCCCAGGGAGCCGCCACCTGCTGAGGGCCACACAGCGTCGGGGGCAGAGCCGGACTCGAACTTAGGAAGAGTGTGCGTGCCGCTCTGGGGGTCTGCCCCTTCGGAGCACCCACCCTGCACCAGGGTCTGCACACAAATGGCCCGAGCACCCCACAGCACCCCGGGAGATGGCACGCAGCTGCCCTTGAGGGGCGAGGGAGAACGAGGCCGAGTCAGACGGGCCGGGCCGGGCACACGGGTCAGGAGCGGGCTGTAGTTCCACAGGGGACGGGGGCTCAGCACGTCTGAGACGTCGCCGCCCTAGGCACTTCTGTCTGCTTTCACCAAAACCCCATGAAGGTGGCTGTGCCGGGCTGAATGGCGTCCCCCCAAAACCTGTGAACGTGACCTTGTTTGGAGAAGGTCTCGGAGAGGTGCTGACGCTGGGTGGGCCACACTGGACGTGGGTGGGCCCTTCTGAGAAGAGGGGGTTTGGACAGGCAGTGGGAAGACGGCCAGGGGAGGACAGGCAGAGGTGGGAGGCGTTTCTACAGGCCAAGGAGCCAAGGGTCAGCCCCCCAGAGGAGGGGGGACAGGCGGGCTCCTCCCCGGGAGCCCTCGGAGAGAGCACAGCCGGCCGGCACCGTCTGCACTGTTACAGCAGCCCTGGGGGACTCTCCCGCCCATTGTACAGATGAGCACATGGGGGCACGGAGAGGCGACCGGTCAGCCTGAGGTCACAGGCCGGCAGGGTGCAGAGGCCGAGGTCTGCCCAGCTCACCCTCCGAGGCCAGGTGGGGGGTGTCTCCAGGTTGCTCCGGACAGACTCAGTGGTCCCGAGGCCCAGGGACTCTGGCTGCTTACCTGCCCGGGCTCCCCGAGAGGGGGACCAGGGCTGCTCACCTCTGGGCAGCTGCTCACCTCTGGGCAGCTGCTCACCTCTGGGCAGCTGCTCACCTCTGGGCAGCTGCTCACCTCTGGGCAGCCCTCCCTGCACAGGGCAGGGCCGTGGATCTGAATGAAGGGAAAAGACGGCGGATGCCAACTGCTTCGGGCGCAGCTGGCTGAGGGCCTCCCCGGGTTCCTGGGCCCCGGAACGTTCTTAGCCTCCCCACCCCGCCAGCACCTGCCTGCCCGACCTCCCCGCCCCTGCCCGCAGCGCAGCCCTCGGCAGCCACCCTGGGCGGTAATTGTGCAGATCGCTGTAACTCACGGCGCACGAGCCCGCCGGCGCTCGTTACGAATGTCACCGAGCAGAGCCTCTGCGTGACGCTCACGCTGCCGGCTCCGTGGGTGAGCTCACCGCTGCCCCTGAGGACCAACCTTGAGACGCGGGGGCACACTTGTCTCGGCGGTGACTCAGCCCAGGCCCTCCTCCCCGTCAGTCCCCAGGTCTGCCCTTCCCGACAGGAGAGAGAGGGCAGCCGCCAACTCGGCCAACTCCCGTTCCCGGGCAACAGGGAGGGAGGCAGGGCCGGGCTGCCGTGACGACAGAGGGAGTCGGGCGTGGGAGCTCGGCCGGCGGGCTGGGACGTGAACAGGGAGCCAGCGGGTGGGTCCCAGGGCAATGTCACCGCCAACAGCGAGACCCCAGGGCCTGCCGTGTGGTTCAAAACCCACGCATTGCACACACACGGGGCCCAGCCCCCGAGAAGTGGAAACCACCCACGGGCCCGTCAACCCCAGAACGACTGAGTGACAGAGGTGGGTCGCCCGCACCGCGGAGCAGGACGCAGCCGGGCGGGAATGAGCCCCGACGCGCTGCCCCACGGGTGGGCCTGGCAGACGGATGCTGCCTGAGAGAAGCCAGACACCGAAGGGCGTGCACCGGGTGAGTCACCCGCGCGCGGGTCCGAGAGGCAGGCACGCAGGACAGAAAGCAGACCAGCAGGTGTGAGGCTCGGGCCCGGACGGCGCCTCCGTGCAACACTGTGAACACACTCGGCACTGCCAAACGGCACTGTCAGCGGCTGAAACAGTACATTGTGTGTGTTTTACCAGAACTGAAGGGAAAAAAAAATATCACAGTTTTCAATAAAGCCTCTTCCGCACCCCACGGTGCACCCCACGCAGAAACCACAGAGCGGATGCGGGGGACAGAGAAAAGCGACCCCAGGGCCCCTCGGGGGCTGACAGTACGTATGCCCTGCCGGGTCACAACAGCTCCAGGGGCCCCCTTTAGCCTCCTGAGCCTGTGGGAGGAGGCAGCTGGCTCCCCCAAATCTGAATGATGCTGGGGGTCAAGGACCCGCCTCCCCTGAGGGCTGGGAGCTGGAGCAAGGAGCCCGGCTGCCCAGGCGGAGGGGCCTGCTCAGTCCCCGAAGCACCAAGCCCAGCACCCTGTCCCGGGGTGGGCATGGGGCAGGCTGGCAGCCCAGGGGCCAGGGTCCCAGCCTCCAGGCCCAACTGCGCTCACACACGCGGTCGCGACACCAGCAGGCCCTTCACTGGGAAGGCCGTTTGCTCCCTGTCTGTTCCCCCGCGCGTCACGACCTGGGGTTCTGGACACAAAGAAGCCACATGTCAGGGACAGGAGCAGGGAGAGAGCGTGTTCCCGCCCCTCCACACTCGGCTCAGGACCTGGGCCATGCTTGGCCTCTGCCCCTCGCCTCCTCGTCCGTAACTCAAGGACGGAAACCAGGCCCTACTCCGGGCTGGGGTCCGGGGAACTGAGCCTGCAGGCAGAGGGAGCTCAGGGCCACCCCAGCCTTCCCGTCAGCACCGGCCAGGGAGGGGCCGGGCTGGAGGCGCTCCAGAGACCGGGATCCCCCCGGACACGGCCCATCCCCCCGTTCCTCACGGCCAACTGAGACACTCTGCCCACTTCACAGGTGGGGAAACAGGCCCAAGGACAGGTCACCAAGCCAGGAAGCGAAGGACCCAGCGATCGGCTCACACAACCATGCTGGTGGCTTCTGAGGGAGGACAGGGGCGGGCACCGGGGCACTCAGGAGCCAGACACCCCAGCCCTGCGGGACAGCCTGACCCTGGGATCCCACCGCGGTGGCCACCGGCAGGTGCTGACCCCCACCCGAGGTGCCCAGACGCACAGCTGCCGTCTACAGAGCCAGGAGGCGCCGACTCCGCAGGGAGCCTCCCACCGACCACGTGCACGGCAGGAGCGGTCTACTCCTGAGCTGTGACCCGACGGCACCCCGGGGACACTTCGCGGGGCCTGCAAATGTGGGCGCGCAGTCCCCTGTTCTGGAGGGCAAAACTGGGGCTCCGAGGGGCAATGACCAACCGGAGAACACCCCGGGAGCAGAGCTTGTCCCCCAGACCACACCGCCGCCCCGTCACGGCCCAGCACGTCGACGTGCCCCCGCGACCCCCGACCCCCGGCCGCAGGCCTCACCCTTCTTGGCGGTCTCCATCTCTTCCTCGGTCCAGCGGGAGCTCTCGCTCATCTCCAAGGAGGCTGCAAGGGAGGGCGCTGACGTCGGCACGGGCCACGGAGCTGCTCAGGCCCCGCTCCAGCCCCGCGCGACCGGCCGGGGTGTGCAGTCACCCCATTTCACAGGCGGGAAACCGAGGCAGTCCTGGGCCTGGTCCGACGGGGCTGCCCCCCTAGGAGCACCCTGACTCCGTGAGGAAGGGGGGCAGGGATGACAGGCACGAGAAACGTGGGCTCCAGAGGGCTGGGGCCTCATCTGAGCCGAGGCCCCCTGGGGGCTGGGTGGTGCTCAGCGGCTAGAGCGTCGGCCCTCGGACTGAGACAATGTTGGGTTCGATCCCTGGTCAACGGCATGTACCTCTGTTGCAGGTTCGATCCCCAGCACCAGGCTGGGTCATGCTGGAGGCAACCACCTGACGTGTTTCTCTCACATCGATGTTTCTCTCTCTCTCTTCCCCACCCCTCCCACTCTGTCTGAAATAAGTCGATGGAAAGATGTCCTCGGGTGAAGGTTATACATACAAATAAAAATGTTTCCAGACACGGCCAGTTGTCCTCTGGGCTGAGATGCCCTGACAGAGCCCTGGCCACAGGGCAACTGGTACGCTCTCCCCAGACTCTCGGTACCAGGAGGAATGCCACGTGGCGCTGGCCCCGAGTCGGCCAAGTCTCTGCTGTGGTGTGTGTCTGAGCCTGGTCTCTGAGTCTCCCTGCCCACTGTGACACCCCCGTGGCCAAGTCTCTGCTGCGGCCTGTGTCTGAGCCTGGTCTCTGAGTCTCCCTGCCTGTGACACCCCCGGGGCCACCCCTGCTCATCACTTACTGAAGACCCCAGGGAGGCCCTGGCTGGTGTGGCTCAGCGGGCAGAGCATCGGGCCTCACACGGAAGGGTCTCAGGTCGGACTCTGGTCAAGGACATGTACCTGGGTGGCAGGTTCAATCCCTGGCCCTGGTCAGGGTGTATACAGGAGGCTACCAATTGATAAGTCTCTCTCACATCGATGTTTCTCTCTCTCTCTCTCTCTCTCTCTCCCCCTCCCTCTGCTCTCTCTAAAGAAATATTCTCAGGTGAGGATTAACAAAAACAAAAACAAACAAAACAGCAACCCTGGTGGAGAGGGCGGCAGCTCCGTGGATCCAGAACAGTGCGGGGTTCGAAACCGGCTGGCAGCGGGGTAAATCCTAGCAGAGGGGAGTGTGCCCCACCCGCATGGGCACCTCCCCACTCCTGGCTGCCGGGCCAACTTCTCCCTTCCTCCCCACGGGACCCCGGGGGGGTGGGGCTGTGAAGTCTGAGACTCAGGTGGGCGTGCTGGGACCGCCCACTCTCTCTCCCACCCCCCGTCCAGCCCATCAGCAGCCCAGGCTCCAGAGCAACCCCCCGGAACTCAGGGACGCTGGCCCCAAGGGGCGGCTGGCCGAACAAAGCCCAAAGGCTGAGTTTGAACCCGACTTTACAGAAGCCGTATCCCTTCTCGAGGCCTCAAATCGCCCATCTATGAAATGGGTACACACTACTTCCCATGGAAAGAAGGGACAGACAGACCCTGGGTGTGGGGGAGGGGGTATCTGCGACAAATGGAAATTCACCTCCATCACTGCCACCTGGGGAGGCATCCTGCCGTGGACCGTGTTTGAGCCTCGCCTCTGGGTTCCCCTGCTCAGTCCCAGCACTCAGGGCCAGGGGTGGGGGCTCCCACAGAGGCAGGAGTGTGGGCCCCAAAGAGCCAGCATGGTACAGAGGACAGACACACATGGCTGCCCCCCGGTGGCTAAACTTGGAAACTGCTACTCAAGCCTTCAGCCCATAGGGGTGAATGTATGAGGAACCCAGGTGCCGACCAGGGGTAGGGCAGGGTGGGGACAGTTCGCACGCAGGTCCTTCTAAAAAGGGGCGGGAGCTACTCTGTCCAGCAGCTGCTACCCGGTGGAAATGCAGGCGGACCTGACTGACCAGCAGAACCCAAACTGGGGGTCTGGGTTTTTATGGGAACTCTCAGTTCTAGAATCACCACGGCTGCCGGCCACTGAGCACCTTCCGCACCCACCGGACTGTTGTAGGCTCCTCCCACACACGGAGTCATGGAAACGCGCACCCCATGGTTACAGGCAACCAGGATGCACAGAGAGGTTAAGGAAGTCACCCCAGGTCACACAGCAGGTTCACTTAGAGCTGGGACATTGCCCTGGTCAGTTTGTCTCAGTGGTTAGAGCATCGGCCTACAGACCACAGGGTCACGGGTTCGACTCCAGACAAAGGCATGTGCCTCGGCTGTTGTTCAGTCTCTGCGGCCCTGGTCGGGGTCATGCTGGAGGCAACAAACTGATGCGTCTCTCTCACATCGATGTCCCTCTCTCTCTATTCTCTCTCTCTCTGTCTCCCTCCCACTCTGTCTGAAAACAAATGGAAAACTATCCTTGGGGGAGGATTAACAAGAAAAGAAAGCGGGGACATGGAGCCTGCTGCGCCCCAGCGCCCTGCCCTGGCCCGCGACTCACCCAGCTCGGCGCTCTGCTGGGGGGTGGCCGCCTCCTCGCTGTTGGCCTCATTGGCCATCGAGCGGGTGATGCGGCCTTTGCGGCGCCCCTGGCTGTTGGCGGTTTTGCGGCCTTTGCAGGCCACTGCCTCCTTTTCATCGTTGTCCTCCCCAGAGGTGTCATCCGTCTTCTCCCTGAAGGCCAGAGAGGGCGACAGGGACGGTGTCACCGGGGTGCAGCGGCAAGAGACCTGCGCTTCTTGAGCGGGCGGAGCGCGGCAGGCAGCAGCCGGCCAGGCCTCCTGCTCACCGGGGAGCCGGCGGGAGCGGCCTGTACCCTGTCAACAGCTCTCAGCTCGTGCCCCCGACGGGAGCGGGCTGCCAGCTGACCGGGTGGCTCTGCCCGTCACTCGGTGAGGGTGGGGGTGAGGGGCTGTTTTGTGGAGACCCCGTCTCATACACCAGAGAAGCGCTCTGCGTCTGCGTGGGGTACAGCCATGCTCTCCCCAAAGAGGGGACTCCCAGCAGGGCGGTGTACCCCACGGCTCTTACAGAGGCTGCGCCAGGTGCGTGGGGGTGCAGGTGACCTTGACACCCAGACTGAGCCTTTCTCTGAGGCCGACTCAGGGGGGTGTACTGTGGGGCTGCTGAAGGTGATCCCCTCCGCCTCCCATCATCTTCCTGAAGGTCCTCCCGGGTGACGGCCAGATGTTCCGAAAGCCCGTTCCCGAGCCCGTCCCAGGCGCCTGGTGCCAAGCCCGCCATCGCCTCCTCCGCCCCCTTCCTGTGCGGGCCTCGGGCCGGCCGTGCTCCCTCCGCCCCGGCAGCCCCGGAGCGAAGCTGTGCCGTGAACCGTGAGGGCTTATCCTGACAGCGATCGTTCTGAAGGGGGGCTGCCTGCATGCCCAGTCCTCCGAGCTCCTCCGATCCCGTCCCCTCCCGGGGTCTCAGGAGACTAGCCCGGGGAGGGGAGGAGATGAAAGGGCAGAGTTCCAAAGCCATTGCCTGGATTTATTAGCTCAGGAGTGGAGCTCAAATGAGCTATCAGTGTGCAAGGTCTCGGGAGGGTTTGAGAGAGAAGGGCAGGGAGGAGGGAGAGGGGGAGGCTTCCGGGGGGGCTGTCAGGGGCCCAGCAGAAACGCCTCTCTTCCTGGCAGGCACTTTGGAGACACCATCAGCACGTCCCCGCACACCTGCACGGGGTCGCCCATGGGCCCCACCTGGGCCCAGCGCAGAGCCCGCCGCCTGGGGTCCCCCCGCCGCCTGGGGTCCCCGCCAGCCAGCCTTACTTGCTCAGCTCCTCCTTGTCATTCTCCACATCCGGCCTCTCCTCCTCCTTCTCGGCCTCCTTCTCCTTCTCCTCCTTCTCCTCCTGGTTGCTCCGGGGCATCTGCTGCTGCTGCTGCTGCTGCTGCTAGACCAGGGGTGGGGGGAGAAGGGGGGACAGTGAGGCAGGTGAGTCTGCACCTGGGCCCGCAGGCTGGTGGGGGTGAAGGGGAACATGGTGCAGTCGCTGGAAGAGGCCGTGGGCAGAGGATGCTGCGGATTTGGGGGTGCGGGGTCACAGAACCTAGGGCTCCCCAGGCGGGAGTCATGGAGTGAGGTGTAGGAAGTGCTGGTGCCAAATGCCTCCCCCGCCCCGCGGCTGTGTGACCTTGGAGGGTCCTGACCACTCTGTGCACTGACGCCTGACCCCTGAAGGGGGGGGTCCCTGCCTCCGTGTCAGCCAGGCGGCAGGGGTGTGGACCGGGAGCCGAGGGAGCAGGCGGGGCCCTGGTCAGCCTCAGGCAGGGGCAGAGGGAGCATCGGGGAGCCCCACACCCCGACTGCCAGCCCTGCCTTCCCCGCCAAGACTCAGGCGCCTCTCAGCCTCAGGTCCGTGCTCCGGCCCCTGGGGGGGGGGGGGCTGCCTGCCGCTGTGACAGGGCCGCTCTGCTGCCCGGGGCCCTCGGAGGGGAGGGGGAGCCCCCCATTTCACGCGGAGATCAAAACGCTCACAGCAAACCAGCCCCCCTTTCATGTCCTCCCAGCGAGGCCGGCAGGTGAGGTGGCCTCCAGCCAGCCTGCCCATCACACTGGGCCTCCCCAGACAGGAGAGGAAGTGGGGGTCCCCGGCGCATTCCCGCACGCCACCCGACTCCTTCTGGGCTGCCCGACTCCTTTCAAAGCACACGGATCGCCGTGGCCGCCCGAGCCCTCCCTGAGGGCAGCTGCCAAGCCGGACCCTCTCGCCACCCCCCGAGCCGAGTGAAGTGGAAATAAAGCTCCGAAAAGCTATTCAGTGTGAGCCAGGGGCCCGGTGCGGCCGACTTCCAGACCAAGGGGAGGAAACCCATCCAGTGGAGGAGGGGGTCCATTCTCCCCGTCACTCCTCTGAACCCGGAACTCGTCCCGTCGACGCCAGTCACTCCGGCTGCAGCCCACCCCCCAGGCCCCGGCGCAGCTGAGCACGGGGCAGCCGCGGGCATTCTGTGGGTGCCGGGGCACCGAACGGGGCTCTGCAGGACCCCGGCTCCCTGAGGCTGCACTAGTGTCCACCTGGAAGCCCTGGACAGGGTCTACGCCCCCTTCCCAAGAGCCCCCTCTTTTCTGTAAGAGGAGAGGAAAGAGACAGGCGCAATGACCAGCCTCCGACAGCCTCTCCCCCCATGTCGCTGCTGATTCCGACGGGAGCCAGTGACCCTGAACTAGCCCGTTCCCACACCGAACCCTCAAACCCCGAGGCTAATCTTCCAGCAGCCCGGGAGCCACAGACCAAGGTGCTTCTGGAGCCGGCCTGCAGGGGGAGCCAGGCCCAGCGCTCTCCCCGTTCACATGGGGCAGAGGGATGAGTGGAGTGGGGGCCCGGGGCCCAGGGCGGGGAGACGGCTTGGCTCCCTGAGGACTCACACCCTGGCCAGCTGGGCCACCTGTCTCCACCTGTCGCCTTGCCAGCTCTGGCACCCCTGGGAACCCACGCCCAGGGCTGGAACCCGGCAGGGCCTTTCCAACCACACGGCGTCTCCCAAGACGGCCCTCCGCGGTGTCTGTGCCAAGAACCCCCAAGGGGCTGCAGCTTCACTCCAACGTTTTCCCTGCTGCCCCCTCAGTGGCCTCTCTCCTGATCACCTGCCATCGTCCTCTGGGTCTAGGCCGGTGGGGCTCCAGGCCCCTTGGGATCTGATCCCCGCAGGCGCTGTCTGCCCCCCACAGCCAGCAAGTGTCGCTCCCCATCGAGGCCCCGGCCCAGCCTCTCAGCCCCTCGGCACCCCGGCCCCGCACTGATGCACCCCGATCGTGAGGGCTGAGCCCAGGGGGCTGCACCTGCACCCGGCATGGAGCCAAGTGCCCCTCCGAGTCCTCAAAAAGCCCCGCGGAGGAAGATGCTGGCACTTCCCGAGTGCTTCCGTCACACCCACATTCTGCTGGCCCGGTCCCGACCTGTCTGAAGTCCTGAGGGTGACAGGGAGGATCAGAAAGCCCCCAGTACCGGCGACTCGTCCCGGGCACCACGAGCGCCCCTTGCGAACACGACCCGTGAACGCCCTCGGTCAACCTCAGGGGGAAGCGTGGTCCTCACCAGCCAGCACCCTGCCTCCGGGCTCGCGCCCACCTGGGCACGTCCTGGGCGATTCAAGGGCTGCAGCCCGACCACCGGGGAGCTCGGGGAAGTCCTCAGAGGCCGCACCCCCCCAGTCACGCGGGAAACCTCGGGGTGAGGGCCAGGTATCGGTGGGTTTGAATTCCCAGGTGATTCCAAGGGGCAGCTGGGTGTGAGAACTGGCCCTCAGACCAGGAGCTGGACCCCGCTTTCCGGAAGGCCCAGCCGCCGCCGACTTCGGGGTGCTGCTCCTTCCATCTGTCAGGGCCACTCTGCTCTGCGCTGGCAGCGAGGCAGCAGCCAAACTAAACAAATGAGTGGGGCCGTGTACCGATAAAACTTTATTGACAAAAACTGCTGACACCGGAACGGTGCAGCTCTGACTGGGGGGGTCTGGGGCAGGATGATGCTGGGCTCCCAGACCGCAGACCCCTTGCCCCTGGCAGCAGGTGAGGGTGCCTGTGGATCTGGGGGAAGAACCAGCCAAACCCCAGCCCCTCAGATGATCCTGCAGCTCGTGAAGGGGTCCTATTTGCCTCTCAGACCCGACACCGGTCAGGATGCGCTCCCTGCCCAGTGCTCGGTGGGAACGTACCCCCCACACCACAGCACGGCTCTGCGGAAAAGCTGGCCGAGTGTACGGTTGGCCAGAGACCTCAGCTCCAATCCCGAGGGACCTGCTTCCAGAGCTGAGTGCCGGACAGCAACCCCCGACAGCCGAGCGGCGCCACGGTCCCCGCCCAGCGGCTTCGAGGCCAGCAGCACGGATAAACACGGCAGTGCCGGCAGCGCCCCAGCGTCGGAGAAGGCCGTCTCCTCGTGGCACACCTCGTTAACCAAGTCCTCCCAACAACCCTCATGCTAGCCGGGTTATAAGAGAGAAATACAAAGACACAGAGAGGTTCAGCAACTCACCCAAGGTCACACAGCATTTCCGAGCAAGATGCTACAGGCAGGTGCTCTGTCTGCCACCTTGGGCTAGGAGATTAGAGACTCCTCACCCCCACTCAAGCCCAACTGTGCCACCCACTTGTCCGTTCCCCCCACAAGCATGCTCTGAGCCCCCAAGGGGAACACGAAGCCACAGCTACCCGCGGTCCCCGACGGCACAGAGGGAGTCAGCACGTCAGGTGATGAAGACAAGGAACAGAAAGAGGCTGCAGTGACGAGGAAACTGGGTACCCAGCACACCGCACACGGGGCCGCCTCACCCTGGCCCACGGGACGAGGGAGGCAGACTGAGCTGAGTCCCCAAGGCTCCTGGTGGAGAAGGATGAGGGGACATTCCAGGGCGGGGACCTGCATGGGCAAGGCAGGCTGACATGAAGACGCCCACGGTCCTCACGGATGACACCCTGGACATGCTGACCCGCTCGGCTGCCTTTCAGACCCACACTGGGGACAGGAGCGTCCTGCCGCCACTGCTGTGGCGGGGACAGCGTGGCCCACCCCGTGGCCAAGGCAATGTGGCAGCTGGTGGAGGGAGAAGTGGCGTTGGAGCCAGGAGAGAAGCAAGTCCAGGGAGAGGGGAACTACAATCGGGGGGGGCGGTGGGACCAAACCCTCCGACAACAGGTCCTCGAAGCTCGTTCGGAGACCCTCTTGAGACCCAGCAGCACCGACTGTGCTCCATCTCATTCATTCATTCAACAAACACCTGCTGAGCAGCTACTGTGTGCCCGGGGCCTCCAGCCAGAGCATCCCAAGAGGGGTCTGCCCTCATCACACCCTCAGGTCTGGGCAGTGGGGAAGGGGGACCCCAGGAGCCCGAGGGTGGTGGGAGGTGGGGTCAGGGGTCAGACCAAGGCAGAACAGTGTTCTGTTGGCTGGCAGCCCCTCCTTATCACGGATCCAGTCCACCAGAGGGGTGCCGCCTCAGTCGTGGGGGGCGACTCCTTACCGCTCCTCGTCAGGAAGGTTCTCCACCTTCCTGACGCCATGACCTCTAACACAGCTCCTCGTGCCCTGGCCGGTTTGGCTCAGCGGTTAGAGCATCAGACTGCGGTCTGGAGAGACCCGGATTCGGTTCCCGCTAAGGGCGCGTACCTCGGTTGCAGTTTGTCCCCGGCCCTGGTCGGTCGTGTGGGTGGCAGCCACTCGATGTGTCCCTTTCACGTCAATGTTTCTCTTTCTCTCTCTCTCTCTCTCTCTCTCTCTCTCTCTTCCTTTCTCTCCTTCCTACTCTATCTGAACAAAAAATGGAAAAAATGTCCTCAGATGAGGATAAAAAAATAAAATAAAATACAGCTCCTCGTGTTGCGGTGACCCCCAACCACAACATTATTTTTGTTGCTACTTCATAACAATAATTTTGCCACTGTTATGACTTAGGCTACTCCCGTGAAAGGGTCATTCGACCCCCAAAGGGGTTGCGACCCACAGGTTGAGAACCTCTGCCTTACAAGATGCAGGCAAACGTGGCTGGAGCCAGCCAGCTCCTACCCGCTCAGGGGACCGGACTTCAATGTCCACCTGCAGGCCGGTCATCCAACCACCGCCGTTAAGGGGTGAAACCCCTAACTTACAGTTAAAGACACTGTAACAAGAACAGGGGCTGCAGGGACTGGAAACTCCCTGATGAGCTGACTCCATCTGGAGGTCCCCATGCTCTCGGGGCTCCTGACGTCACTGGGTGTATCCACATGGCAGAGACAGGACGCAGTGACGCGCCGTGTGGACCCTTCCCAGTGCCACGTCCAGTGACGTCCGGCGGAATCGTGGTGTTAGCACCAGGGCCATCGGCACGGCCTCGGATGGGGCCTCGCTGGTGGCTAAACCCTCCCCCGCATTCACTGCCCCAGGCCGACAGACCCTGAGCAACACCTCACACAGCT